TTCAACAATTTCTAAATTGAGAACATGCACAGCAGAACTCTCTCCTGGATTCTCTGCTTGCACCACTTCTCACTGGCCCATCACATTGCCCCTCAGCTGTCACCAGGGCCTGAAAACCATCCTTGGTGACAGGTCAGAGCCAAAGGGACTGAGTACATCCTTCGGCAAGGAAGCAAATCCAGTCCTGGCACGAAGCCCAGGACCATGCCCTAGGGACAGATGGTACACTGACTGGTGGAGCAGAATGTAGACTTTTCTTGGTCATGTGAGCTCCTCTGGCAACCAAGTTGCAAAGTTTACCTTGATGTTCTCAAACTCTTCAGAAAATGAGAAAGTTCAAGCAGAAAAAGCAGACCCTCCATTTGTTAGGTTTTAGAAACTGCTTCTGAGAAGCACAAGAATCACAGATACAGACAAGAATCAAGATTGGTGCCCCAATCTAGCTTGTGTATGGTGTAGGACAAAGAAATCTAATTCCTGTCCCTCCTATGCGACTGCTGCAAAATGCATGACACCCTACTCAGCTAGATGCTTTTTCCACACATACGCACCACACTGCAAAAATAGTCCTTTCTGTGACCCAGATTTCCAGGGATTGCCATGAAGCACTGAACACAATAACCATCACAAAGACCACTGCAGGTCACAAGAACAAGCCACCCAGACAGCAGCAATGGACAAATCCAAGTGGAGGAGCAATAGCCACACCTCACAAACACTGGTAAAAGTTATGTCCATTGCCTAACTCATTAGCGGTTACTGAAGTTTTCAAGTCACATGCTGAAGCCTGTTCACAACTGTATTTAAAGATCGAGTGTACGAATCCCAAAGGATTCAATATTATCTACAATTTCTCAGCCTTAATTAAGGGAGCCCACGTGTTTCAGTACCTCTACTCCTAATTTACCTAGACAAATTACTCAAACACCGCTTTAGGATGGGAATCCAAATACGTAACAACATCCTTTCTATGACTGTTAAGTCGTACTCTGTGTCTACACAGATTGCAGCTCACTCTACAGAGCTTTCCCTAGTCCTGGTTAGCTCTGGGCAGTTTTTCTATAAAACAGAATGAACAAGTCACCATAAATTAACATTTCTCAAGCTAAATCTATGATGTGGATTGTATGATGTGCTAAGCACAGTTGCAAGAACAGCACAAGTTGAGTTATCTCTCAGATCTCCTCTACATCTCTTCTCCTAACCACTAGAGCCTTCTGTTATGGAATCTTAGCACACCACATGTCTCAATTACAAAAGTGGACAGAATTATAGTGCTCTGCTAGCTGTCTCCTTTTGCTTTTACCTTCCTGTTAATTTCCCACCATTTGCAAGGAGAAGTAACTAAAAGCTCCTTTGGGTTCCAGCTGTCATCTTCCCTCTTCATGCCATCTTTTCTTGCAATTTCAGGCTTGTTCATTCCAAATGCGCTTAGTTAAAAGCTTTTCTATTGGCTCTCAGAGCCAAGATTTGAGTACTAAGTAGCTTTCCCACTATGCCTGTCTAATCTTCCTATTTATCAACCTGGAGATTCCTCAGCTTTACTAATCCTTCCAGAGAGCATATAATCCTGACAGCGATTTCCAAAGCAAGGGAGAGTTAAATTATTGATAACTGCCACTTGGAAACTTTGGGCCTTACTTGGCATGTTTTGCTGCCGCTCAGAAAAAAACTGCATCAAATAGCACAACATATAGTTGAAACAGACCCTTAATTCACCTCAATTCACCTATTTCCTGGGGGCTTTTTTTTTTCTCCAGCATGGAGTTCCTTCCCCTTGACTTTAGGCTCTATAGCAACACTGCTTTATCTGTAGTTGGCAATACCACCCTGAGGATAGTTGGAGGGAAATTATCATAACCAGGAAGTTACTTGTCTTGTCACACCCCCTTTTACAACAGACCATCACCAGGCACAACAACTTTTCTTCTTGCTGTGCTATGCATAGTTGGGTACATACTTAAAAGTAGGCCTGCCTTTTATTTCTCTTTACACAGAACAAAGTCCTCTATGAAAAACACTTTCTCCTTCCCCATCTACAAGGGTGAGATGGAACGAGTCTGTTTTCCTTTAGCCCATGGTCTCCAAACTCCGCTCAAATGTTTACATTGGCCTTCCAATTAAACGATGTACGCTATTTCTTCTCCTCTTACTCAGAATTGGGGGCGAAGGAGAGAAATAGGATTAAAAAGACACCAATAACTTCTAAACAGACAGAGCTAAACAAAACATAAACACAGATAGATATATGTTTTTATAAAAATATAAATATTTGTGCATTTTTATATAATACACATAGAAATGTTTTATGGTTTACATGATCTTCTGGTGGTTCTATTTCTAAGCAAATTCATTCCAAGGCACATCCCAAGTCAACTTGTCAAGGAGGGCAATCAGTGCCATATTCCATACCCTATCAATAGGATGCAACACCTCACAAGACAGTTTATCGTCATACGTAGTCTAGGGCCTTCTTACTTCAGCTCAGACCTTAATTAGGGGCTTTCAATTAGACACTAGATTCACTAACACCAGAGGAGCCTGATGCCATCCTCAATGGAGCGCTCTACGTCATCAGATACATGGATACAGCATTTTTACCTTCTGATCCTCACTGACACAATGAGCAAACGGCTGGATGCTATCAGTTGTTCAGCTTGTTTTCATGGAAATTCAGAAGTGTTTAAATATCTCATTTATCTTGTTGAAGCTATGCACTATGAATGAACATTAACAAACTTCCTCTATTCTCTGTACTACCTAACTTCTCTGCTGTTAGCATACTGACAGAAAAATTGTTTCATCTCTGCTTGCTTCCAGGCAAGAGGAGAGACACACAGATAGAAAAGAATATAAACACCCATCCAATCTCCATACAATATCTTTTTAATCAAGATTCACAGGTTAATCCTAGCTTTCAAAATACAATAAACATAGAACATTTTATATACTAAATTCATTCAGGAACTGAACATGAAAATATATAATCCTGTAGAGCTACAGAGAATTCTGATCAAAGTATAGCAGGTAAATCAAACCTGGAATGAAGGGATTAGAAAAGAAAGGTTACTGTAATATTCTTTCCTATTAAGTATCAAGGAAGCAGATTTCACTGGATCTTGCTCTCTAATTCCCATCTGGAAAAGTAGTGTTGGAGGAATGAATAGGTTTGACAAAATGCCTTTCATGACATCTGTAAAGTCAAAAACAACAATCACAGCCAACCATAATCCTTCATCGAGCAGTAGGTACTTTGCACACAATCACAGTGGTGCTGATCAAAGCCAGGTATTTGAGATAGTTAGAAGACACCCCATTTCTCCCATAATATCAAATACTAAAGCTACTGATCTCAGAAGAATAGAGACCCTCGATTTCCACTAATTTCATTCTCAACTGGTCATCCAAACCCTCGGCATGTAGCCTCGAAAAGCTTCCCCCATGCATTTTTTTCAAGCAAACCAAACTACATATTCATAGTCTAGTTACACCTTCAGGTACACACTCTTGGAATTGAGAATTTCAGTGCAGAAAGTACCTTTTAAAGTCACATTTGAAATACACCTGAGCAGCAAATTCAGGAGCAGCTAGACCAACCATTTCACAATATCCTTATCACTGAGGTAACTAAAAGCTGTATACAAAACCCCAAAAGCTCCTGTTATTTAAGTACACATTCTGAGACTCACAGCTTGCCCTTATATTTCTTTTTTCATATGATCGATCACAGAAATTCAAGTTGATGACAAAATTTGGCCTCGAGGATTTAAGTTAGAGACAGCTAAACAATACTACACAAAGGACAAAGTACTTCATATTACCAAGACAACCACTCCTGCAAAGAAATCACAGGTATTTCAGAGGTTCTGAAAAAGATGTCATCAGTTACTGCACAAACACTGGAACCAAAAATTCATGAAAAGTCTTAAAGGACTTCTGGGTGTGGATATTATTTCATCCATTTATGTCTATATTAATCATTGTTCTCACACCGCACCATATCCGTCAATGAGCATATCTATATATGATAACATTCAGGTGACAGATACGCAGCTCTAGTAACAATACACAGAGGAAACACAGCACGTGCATCAAAAGCAGGGTCAGAAAAGCATATTCATCTCTAGTTCAACCCACAAAAAAAACTATCATTTAAACAAAAAGGTTGTCACACTAGTTAGAATAACAAGCCATCACGAAATGCAAACAGATTTTGAGAAGATAAACTTTGGACACATTTAAGGACAATGGACATTCTGCAATTACTACCATGCATAAACACGAGAAGTATTCTTCAAACTGCATTAAGGGCAAGTAAGCCAGGACTTCTACTCAATATTGCTTAGTATGCTCTGAGAAGTCCCGTTCAACCAATTTATTATTAAACACACTTAAGTTATATATATTTTATATATACACACACACATTCTATATAAATTTCTATGAACTTTTTTTCTGTCACAATAAAAGCTGTTCAAAAAAAGCGATTTGTAAACTTTAAGCAAATGGCCATGTTCAAGAATGGTCAAGACAAAGTTTGTACTCTTCAAGTCTTCTGGAATTTAATTTTTTGCAAAAGTTGCTGAGCAGAAGTGTCACATGACTTCAGCTAGTGCAAAACAATTTATTCAAGCCTCAAATTTCCTCACTTAATCTGGTGATGAAGTTCTTATTTTAATGAAAAGAGTTAACATGGATTATTCTTCCCATTTTTTCAGTTGTTTTGAAATTAGCTCATTAAACTAAAATATTTTGTGCATTCTTTTAATATTTCAAATGCAAAATAAACTTTTGGTCTTTTTTTTTTTTTTTTTTTTAACTGCATGAGGAGCACCCTTTAGAAACCCTAGCAAATGAGTTTTGTTAAATTCATTCCACATTCTCCATTTAACTTACCAGCAGCTGTCTGAGAACAAGACGCTGGTTACAGATGTAACCAATGCTTCTTTCACCGTCCATGAATGAAGCAAGTTAAGTGGCCTTTGGAGGTGACTGAGAGCCATCGTAGACACTTGTCATGGCGGGCAGAAATGCCACAGAAAGCTCAGTCCTCAACAGCAAATCTCTCCTGCTTAGGCAAATCACAGCACATCTCTCCATGTTTGCAGCGCTAAAAGACAAATAAATACTTGTCAGAAGTTCCATTACAAAAATCATTTAATATTACAAGTAACATTCTACCAGTCAGAACAACATACAGAGGGTACCTGGTAGCTAGCCATTCACAGAAGGGAAGAAACATATGGGAAGAATTAAATTACATTCCTATTTCAATGATGCTTATTTAAATCTTGATTTAAACAAAATACAAATTTAAACAAAAAAATTTCAAAAAAGGTTTCTTTCTGCTTTACTGAAATGGCTTTCCCCCTACTATGTATTTCCTTCATGGTATCCTTTCTATTAATATGGTAACTGTTTAACATCTATACTTAAAGACACCATTTCTGCTTTCTCTGCAAATGACAGATGAACACGCAAACTTAACAACTTTCCAACAACTTGAAAAGCTTCACACGGATACTATGAGAAAACAATTTTTTAACCTACTAAAATAATACAAACATCTTTCAGAACACCTGAAGACACTTAGACTAGTTAGAGAGTGAAGACACTCTCTCTTTTCATGTTAAGTAAGTCTCAAGTAGTCTATGTCATCTCTCTTAAACACATATATGAAAAACAATATCAAACTTAACACATACAGAAGAACTTCATAAAAGCACCACACTGGCGATTGTGCCAGCTAATCCATTTCAAGGCTGCAGGTTCAGAAATGAAAGAAGATACTGTGCTGCAACACAATTCCTTTGCATGGACTCACTGCCACAATATGTCCTAAAAACAAAAGCAAAAATGGCTTCAAAAGAGGAATTAGATTAACTGACAGATGACTCAGAATAAAGAGTTATTAGCCACAAGTGTTATGCAAAACTGCTATCTCATGAAGTTCCTAAACTTTGGACTGGCCAGGACTGTAACACATCTTAACATTTGCCAGATCTGTCTGTCATTTTTTCTAAGAATTCCTTTCTGGTTTATGTGAGATGGAATCAGCAAGTTCTGGTCCCTATTTCCTGTGGTTGTTTTCACGTGCACCTTCATGTTGCTTGGGTTTGGAAATATTTTCATTGAACTGATGAAGCTTCACATGATTTCAGTAAAAAGTTTTTACACTAAGGACAAACTGCCTTCCAGTACACTACTTCTTCGAGACCCCAGTCAAAGATCCAGCCATCAATTCTGAGATCAGACAGGATCTATTCCAGAACAGAATGCCAAACTAGAGAAGCATCCAACATGCGGCTTCCATGCCAAATTGTTACCATAGCCCAGAGCCCAGCACCAAATTCCAAGGAAAGTGAGAACTGTTGACTGTTAGGGTCTTTCCAGCAGCAGGCATTTTTTCCAAGAGCACTTACAAGAAACTTTGAGATCCTGAGTTCTTTTGCTACTCTTGGCCCTTTTGCGGCCTCAAATGTTTCCAAGCTAGCCTCCCTCCTTCAACAACAGGCAAGCCTATGGAACCTAGGCATAAGCACTTGGCTGAGGCATTACTAATACAAGTTTCAGAACAGCGTGCTGGAGGGCAACTGTGCCACATTAAAACATTCCATCATGGCTTTATCCACAATCACAGCTAAAGAAGCTTCAACAGTTCAGTGCTCCTGAATATTGAGTTACCCAAGAATTCATAATAAAATATCAAGGAGCTTGGTCTCAGCTTCTCGCTGTACTGCTAAAACATCAACTTTCCTCTCCTTCCAGGAAAGGAAAGAAGCAGTAAGCAAGCATAGGTACAGCCTTATTCTACTGCACTTCACCCCTTGTTCTTCACAGCTCAGTACTAATCATCAGTCCATAATGCAGTGCAGAATTGCCAGACCCATCCTGATGATGTAGTTATTTCCAATTGGCACTTGGGAGCAGTGAAGATGGGAGGCATTACTCATCGCCAAGAGTACAGATGTGTCTAATTGCTTTCCATTACCAAGAATAACAGCTGTTTACATCTATCAGCAAATAATTCACAAGAGCTCCAGACTATTAAGATAACACACCCCACCTGGTCACCATCACAAGTTGTCAAGTCCAAGGTAGTGGCTGCCAGAATCTCCTTCTGCATCTCTGTTCATCAAATGACAGCATGTGTCACCTTCAGATATCCTTATGCTACCCCACAAGCTCTGGCTTCTTGGTGGCTTTACAGATCAAATGGACATATGGATTCTTCATGGCTTTGCAGTAAATGTTTTATGGTTATACTGCAGCCAAGGGCAAATGACAGAAGAGCAAGGGACTTGCAAATAACACAATGAAAAAAAAAATTACACTTCTAATTAATTAGCTAAAAAGTGTGCCTGCTTTGCTCTGCAGCTGTCTGTGCAACAGCCTTTAAAGGTAACCCAAGTAGCTGATGAAATCATTCGTTTTTCAGTATTTTGGCGCACTGCAATGGGATCAGGTAACAAGGCTGAAGAAAACAGTCAAGTAAATTCAGTTGGTCATGTGACTGAATCAGGTTAGCCTTCCTATAGCCTGTGCAGGCCCATATTGGCACAAAGAGTCCAATGACTCTTGTTTTCCTCAATCTCAGCTAGTCCAGATCGCTATCTCTGTGGGAAGCAGGACTGTCCTTTCCACAGCATTCCACAATCTGGGGACTGAGTTGTGGACAAGGGCTCCTCACCACTTCAACATACAAATACAGAAACAGACTATCGAAATTAGTAAATAGGCAAAACGCAACAGAACACCCTATGACTAACATATCTAACCAAGTTATTGTTATTAGCTCTTTTTTTATAATTAAGGTTGCATTTATATTTGCCCCACAAAGATTTGTATGTTCAAGCATCAGTCTGAAATAACCAACAATACAAATCTGTCCAAAAAGACCTGACTTCACAAACAGAAACAGATTACCAGAAGCACAGAGTGAACCAGTTCCCACCAACTTGAAGAGAAATATCATGGAGAGACAAAGAAAAAAGTAATGTCTCCAACAATTTTTATGGTCCCCACCTTACCTCATCCTCCAGCCTCTTAACACTTCCATTTCCCATTCTGTGGGGAGAAAAAAAGCAACTTTGATAAAATAGCAGAGCATGCTGCTACTTATTACAGAATGTCAGAATCTACTCTTCACGGTATTGTACATATTATCCTAAACTATTTCCACTGAAGAAGTAATTTGCATTATTATTTTAGGCCCAAATAATTATGTCAACAAAACACTCCTTAATCCCCCCTAAATTTAGTTTGCTTCAAGCAGCTTGTACTGCTTTAGTTGGTTTAGCACAGAAATGGTGCAAGCATTTGGACAGAGTTAGCACAGAGGAGCCTTTATTTTTAATATAAATTACTTAATTTATAGTTGGATAAGCTAGACCAGAGTATTCAATCTTTACCTTACTTGGGAGAATAAGAAGAAGATGGAGAAAAGAGCTTTATGAAAAGTTCAAGACCTATTCATGTGCTGCTATTCCCAGCCACAATCTAGAAGTAGATGTAGGACCCAACCACATCTCTGTTCATGACAGAGAAAGAAAAAAAAAAACAGGAGATAACCAGGATCTCAAGAACCTTCTGTCAATTTCCACATCAGCAGTAAATTTATATGAAAAAGACTGTGCAACAATTAGCCTGATTTTTTTTTCAGTCAAACTTTGAAGCTGCATAGAAGCACCAGGCAGGCTAGTAAGCTCACATGGCTAAAATTGGTTCTGTGTCCAATGAGTCAATTATTCCCTATGGTATGTTCAACAGAAAGGTTCCCTATGCCATGGTAAGAAAAGGATGCATGAAAAGAAAACATACAAACAAAGCAAATAAACAAATGACCACACACACTATAAATGACCTACAGTGCTTAGGGATCTTTCCATCTCTGCTTCTAGCTGGGAAGACAAAAGGACACAGTAGTCTAAATCTGCTTTACAAGTTCCTTGAAACAGTCCCAAGTAAGAAATAACTCAAGTGCCTTCCACGCTTTTCTTGCCTCTCCCAGAGTTGTCTAGCTATAGCTTTTCTCCTCATCATTTCTGCTATTTTGGGGGCACTGCCTCCTGCCCAGGGATCCCTGCCAACAAGAGCAGAATGCCATTACGAGAGGAGGCTGCCGTGAGCTGCTGCCATCACAGGGAATTTATCACTGCAAGCCATGATCATAATGGACTCCTTCACCAAATGACTTTGGATGTGCAGGGCTTTGGCAGCAAGTCTGACATCCACACACAATTATTAAACTGAATACCCGTGTAATAGAAGCAGGGGACAGCAACATCACATCAGTGTAGGCAACCATCTCTCAAAAGCTCTGCATGCAGAAGCAGATGAATTGACTCCAAAGTCCAGACTGCATGACAGGCAGAGAGGAGGGAGGAGAGGAAGAGAAGGGAGAAAAAAAAACTCATATGCACACACAACAAAAGCTAACTTGGGTAAAATCCAGCAATTGAGGAAGAATGTTGTTTTGGTTGAAAGTGTGAGCTCGGCCAGGAGATAGATGACAAAAAAGAACAACAACACACACAGAGCCATAGACAGATTGTACTATTTGCAAGCCTTAGATGTTTCACTCTGTCTGGAGGTCCTATTTCTTCTCCAGAAATTGTTATCATCACTACTTGGCATTGTGTTTATGTCACCTACCTGTCTCTCAAGCATGCCCCCCTCAGACTTTCTCCTGGCTAGCCTCACTCTTTGTGTTTTGTGTTTTCACATGGAGTATCACCTGCCTAAGCTCTGCTTCTCCATCTACTGGAAAGATATGCAAGGAAAAATTTTTCTAGAAAACTCTTCTAGAAAAAACTTTTATGTGACAGCAAGGAATATATTTTTAAAATAATAATTAAAAAAAAAAAAGCTTTTCTGCTTCTCCACCTAAAGTACATCTAAGTAGTTCTCCCACTGCTCTTTTTCAGTCCCTGTTAAATAGCATGGATTCCCAAATACTTCATCAATAAGGAAAGGTTTCACTAAATCTAGCTTTAGCCAACAGTAATATGTTTCTGGCCTCCATGTTTAGTTTTCTCCAACTTTTCATGTCTTTTAGCTTCCCCTAATTTTGATTAAGATGAGGAGAACATCTGAGAGTAGGATTCCTTGTTTCTCAAATGATTATTATTCCTGTGTAACAAAACACTCCAGATGAATCTCCTAAGTAGAGACATCAAATTCAGGACTCAGCTTAGTGGTCAAAGCTGCCCAAGTTGTCCAACTGTTCATTTTCTATTGCCATTCTCTCTTTTTTTTCAAATGTTTTCATCTTTATGCTTTTTTTTTCCCCCCACCTTTTTCTTTCCCTTTATCCTACCTCTATCATCAACTAGTCCTTATTACAGTTTCCCATCTCTTCTCCATGTTACCTTTGCCTTTCCAAAACCAAACAAAACACCGTAACCATGTTGACAGTACAGCATATGCTTTCTGTCCCCAGATACACTTATTGTAAGAGGGCTTCTCCTCTGCTCCAGTACAGAGCACCCAACATGCTGCCCAGATCCATTTTAAGCATTCATTGTCACCGAAAAAGCATCAGGAACTTTGGTGAGTTCCTAGCTAACTTTCATTCCAGAAAACAAAGTCCCCCAATACTGTAGGATATACACGGGAACAAACACACCTAGCTAACACCTGGCTACCCATTTAGGGTCCCTTCCACTCCCCAAAGGGCTACCAGCTATTGCAGATATACCCAGGATGATAAAACATTATGGAACACGTCTGCAGTGCATTGTAACAGGCTAATTCCTTTACAACCCATATGTCTTGCCACCAATCAATGACTATATAATGTTTTTCTAATCTATTAGCAATACAATGT